AATTGCCGCTAATTTGAAAGTGAAAGTAAAACATGCACAGCGCTTTTTCAAGCTATTTGAAAGCCAAGAAATCCGGGGAAAAGAGGGAAAACTCAAACGAACAATTGCTTGACGCCGAATTGCGGCAGTTGCCGCTAATTTGTCCTCACCGTCACAACCCTACCTACAACTACTCTAAGAACTTTAGAAAACAAACCATTAACAGAAGTCTGGTCCATTTCCATCTTCTAAAACTTTAATAATTTAACACATTTGCATGTCTACTGTTCTATGGTCTATTAATGGTCACATGACATGCAGATAAACAAATACAACATTTTATTTCTTTTTATTTTAAATTTTTATGATTTAAAGGAATAGTATACCCAACATTTAACATTTATTCACTATCAGACCATTTAAGATGAGTTTGTTTCTTCAACCAAACTGATTTGGAGAAATTTAGCATTAAAGGGGTCATGTGATGCTTTTTTAAAGATCATTATTTTGTGTATTTGGTGTAATAGAATATGTTGACATGCTTTAATGTTCAAAAAACACATTATTTTTCAAATACTGTACATTATTGTAGGTCCTCTATGCCCCGCCTCTCTCAAACGCTTAGTTTTCTACAAAGTCCCTCCTTCCGACAAGCACAGTCTGCTCTGATTGGCCAGCTGACACAGTGCATTAGTCTTAACTTTGATAAAGAATATCTCTTTGGTTTTGAGACTTTAGTCTTTGCAACTTCAGGGATCTTATCTATTCAGGAACAGCTTGTAACACTCCAAAGAGAAAGGAAAACTTGAAATCGCATTATATGACCCCTTTAAATCACTTGCTCAGCAATGGACCCTCTGCAGTGAATGGGTGCCGTCAGAACAAGAGTCCAAACATTAATGACGGTTTTGTTACTAACAAACACAGCTTTTCACTTCACAAGATGTTAACTGATGGACTGGAGTCATGTGGATTACTTGTGATGTTTTAATCAGCTGTTTGGACTCTCATTTTGACAGCACCCATTCACTGCAGAGGATCCATTGGTGAGCAAGTGATGTAATGCTAAATTTCTCCAAATCTGTTCTGATGAAAAAACAAACTCTTCTATATTGGACAGCCTGAGGGCAAATACTTTTTTCAGCACATTTTAATTTTGGGGTGAAATATTCCTTTAATTACTTACTAGTTTTTCCATCAACTCTCAAACCCCAGGTGGGGAAACCCTGTTCTAACAAATCTAACCATTTTGTTTGTTAAAACAGGTGATAAGAATCTCAGCTACCCTAACGAGGCACTATCAGCGTGTTATTGTCTATGTGTGCAAAAAAAAGTCAAGAAAGAGAGAGAAACCACTGAAGCAGATCCTCACTTGGGACTTCAGACACAGAAGTAAGTAAAAATTAAAGTTAATCAAAATCTGGGGCTGGCTGCCGTGTTCCCATGGTGCCTTCACAGCTCACACTTCACACATTTCAGCAAATGCCTTTTCTCCAAAAGCACCAAGTGGAAAAAAAAGCATGCTTTCACTTAGGTACCTGAGGTTATTTGGGCATATGCATTCATCACACCACAACACAAGAGCATTTGTACGACATGCTGTCTGACAAAGAGTTTAACTGTTCAGGTGACTAATAGAGAAAAGCAGACATAACGGCCAGTGGTCACAAAGAACAAAGAGCTGTCTTTGACTCGGCAGATAAGAAAAAAGGAAGAACAAGATCCTTGTTTAACTTCATGGTGATTATTAAAATGTCCTCCTCAAGGGTCTGTGGTGGTTTTTTTTTAGAAGCTTATTCGAAGAATTACAAATCTGAAATGATGACAAAGAACTTCGGAACTTTTTACAAGGCAAATCTGGCTCAAAGCAACATGAAAGATTGAGAAAACTCACCAATCTTCTGGTTGAAGATTTTGTCAAAGGTCAGTTCATCCCTTTCTTCCAGGTACTTCTGCATGACACTCCGAATACTGCAAGAAAATGGGAAAAAATTACTTTAGTTCAAAACCCCACATCAGCTAAGACCCATCTCGCCCTGAGAGAAAGGTAAGTGGATTTTTCAGTCAGCCTCCTGCGCTGGCCTTCCACCTCGATCCCGGCCTTAGTTTAGGTCTCTCCACAACCACCTGCTCAATTCTCCGCCCGTCGCTTCCCAACGGAGGGCGCTGCCACACTGCCCTGGGAGAGGGTGTTAATGAGCAGCAAGGTTTGGGAGACTGAATCAATTAGCACCCCCTCCGAGGGCTCATTATCACCCAACCACAGGCCCACAGAGTCAGAGTGCAGGTCAGGGGAGATAGGAGTGTCCCCAAACATGCTCCTGCAGTCCTGGACCAGACACAGACACCCCTGTAGTGAGTGACCTGACACATTACGGTAAACGGACAGGGCTGATAACAGGACTGCTAATATAAATAGGGCTGTGCGATGATGAAAACTCATTACATATTTATGGTAATTAAGTTGGCGATATAAAATTAAGCAATACTGTGAATATTATGAAGATGCAATGAAATTTATATTTAGTCGTTAAGTTATATCAGTGTGACAGTATGCAAACATTGCATAGAAAAGACAAACTGTCCATTTCAATTAATCAATTCATGGCTCTGATTCAACTATACGTTTGAATCATTATTAAAAAAAATGTCACTATACCATTTTAATAAGTTCAAAAGTTTAGGGATTTTTTTTTCTTAACAAATTTTTATTCTTAACACTTTTATTCAGAAAGGATGCATAAAATTGATAAAAAGTGACAGCAAAGACATTTAGAATGTTACAAAAGATTTCTATTTCAAATACATGCTGTTTCGGGATTCATCAAAAAATTCTGAAAAAAAGTTTAATGGTTTCCACAAAAATATTAAGCAGCACAAAGGTTTCAACATTGATCATATTAAGAAATGTTTGCTGAGAAGTAAATCAGCACATTAGAATGATTTCTGAAGCATCATGTGACATTGAAGACAGGAGCAATGATGCTGAAAATTCAGCTTTGAATCACACGAATAAACAACATTGTAAAATATATTCAAGTAGAAAAGAGTTATTTTGAATTTAAATAATATTTCACAATATTCCTGTTTTTACTGCATTTTTAATCAAATAAATGCAGCCTTCGTGAGGATAAGAGACTTTAAAAACACTAAAAATCTTACTGACCCGAAACTTCAGAACTATATTATACAAAGGCAAATATTGCTATTGGTTACCATGTTTTTGTTATATTGGTGCATATAAAATAAAATCATTAAATATTTCATCTAATTCTAGCATTAAAGGAGTCATATGATGCGACTTCAATTTTTCCTTTCTCTTTGAAATGTTACAAGCACTTGGTGCATAAAGAAGATCTGTAAAGTTGCAAAGACTAAAGTTTCAAATCCAAAGAGATATTCTTTATAAAAGTTAAGACTTGTCAATGCCCACCTAAAACGCCTCCTTTAAACACGCCCCCACATGTCTACGTCACTGTGTGGGAAGATTTGCATAACGCCGCCCAAATGTTCACGCAAAGAAAGAAGGCATAACTTTTATTCTTGCTGTAGTATTGTTGCCGCCGCCGCCGCAAAGATGCTGTGTTTCATAGTGAAAGCGAAACTACTTTGTTTGGCCTTCCAAAAGAGGACGATATCCGCTTCGTCATGCCTGGAGCTGATCCGGACGCGTTTCAGAAAGGTGGGGCATAGAGGAGAAACAATAATGTACGTTATGTGGAAAATAATGTGTTTTTTTTAACCTTAAACCACATAAACACATTGCATTACACCAAATAATGTTCTTTTTAGCAACATCATATGACCCCTTTAAAAATTCTAGAAACACCCGTCCAAGTAATTTCAGAGCAAATACATAAGTAGGGATATATCAAATCAATATAGGCTTAAAAATAATATTTTAGTGCCCTGCCCTAGTAAATGACTTAACACATTACTGTAAAAAGCCAAATCTGATATTTAGATCACTTGAATGGCTGAAAGCTCAAGCCTGCGATGAGCTCTTTTAAGACATAAACAAACTTTTCATTTATTAATGATGACTACATGTTGTTTCACTCACGCATCGCATTCATATTTTATAGCCTGGCCTACATTATTATGACACATTAACTGGCCTTTAGCATCTCAAAAGCGGTAACTAGTTCAAAACCACCAACTAATGGATACAATTTAAAATGCAGGATTGCACCCGTGCAGGAGATATTGTATTCAACCACAACATGCGCGACCTCTCGCTGCCCGTCTCTCTCCGGATTCAGACACATTCAGCTCTTTCTCTGTCTGTCTGCAATCTCATCAGTTCCGTCCCACGGTCCAACGTCCATGTGACTGAAACAATCTCCAGTCTCTTCCACTCGTCTCGCTGTCAAAACAATCCCACCAGCTCCTCAAACACTTCCAGTCATGCTGTCAAAATCTCACCTCTCTGCCAGCGGGCTCACGACTGGCCCAAGGAGAATGTAGCAGAGCTGCGCTATCTCTCTACGCCGGCAAAGGACAAAGTACCTTCTATTTATTAACAAACGCCTTTGTTGTACCATCAGCTTATGCTTTCTTATGCACGCTGGATCATTGCTGTCAATATGGGATATTGATATGGTTCTCTTACACCACAGAGGTTTAAAAACGCTTACTGAACAACAACAAACAAGTGCTTGAGTGTCACAAGAAGAGTTTGATGGTAAACGAAAGTCTTAGTCAGAAGGTGCAGCTGGGAGTGGCACGAAGCTTATGGATCCCATAATAATGCTAATGATGGGGACACTGATGTCAACGGCTAATGCTTTCACTCGATCTGTGGTAATGCCGCCCTGCTGCGGACTACAGTAATCCCTCAGAGCAAACAGGGCCACTAAAGCAGACTAATCACAATAAGGAGCGGATGTATGGTTTACCACTTTGCAGAACGGAAAAGCTAACCCTAGTTATCGTTTCCGATTCGTACCGCGCATTACCGCATCATCCGGGGAGGCTAAATAGCCCATCGGCACATGCATCATCTCGGCCCAAGGAGAGACTTTTATATTGGCCTTGGCGTAGGAAGGAAGATGATTAATCGTAAATGAATCTTGCCGCGAGTTTACTCTGCCTGTGTCCTGATGCTGGCCGACTCACAGAAGACTCTTCAAAAAGCCTGATTGAATGCTTTTGCAGGATTATATGTTATGTTTACATAGGTGACAATCACTAAGGACAAGCTCTGTAAATAATCGGCAGGTCAGCAATAAAACTGAGCACTTAAAACGCACTACTTTCAGATATTCTCGGTTAAAGGTTTCAGAACCATCACGTCAACAAAAACGTCTTTAAAGCTCAAGGTGGCACAATTTCAAATTCTATTAGCATGCTAAAAAAAAGCATGAACACTGAGGTTAATGCATGCAACTTTACATTTAACAAGCAATTAAAGCAACAAGTTAAACAAAATTATTCCATCTATACCAGCGTTTCCCACAAAAATTTGTAAGCTATGGAGCATGGTACATTTTAAAGTTAAGCGCATCAATTAGGTGCTCCAACCCATTTTCAGGGATCATACCGAACAGAGTCTTTGCATTGACTTGTAGCTGGTGGACTTTTTAAACCAAAATCTTTTTACAACATTATTATCCCAAAGACAGAAATACAATACTATTGTCAAGGTGTGGTCATATTTACAGTTGTTCAGCAAATTTTCATGGGTGAAATCCAGTCATTCCAATAGGATTCTACATGATCAGGATTTTTGCTTGAAAGTAGGGCTGCACGATAAATCGCATGCGATATTTAACGCGCATCTTGTCAGAAAGCCGGTTCTGTAATCAGCGGTAAATCTCCATCACGTGCGTGCTTTCACATTGAGCAGCATTAACTACACAGAGCCGTTGTTCACTGACGAGCTGCGCAAAAACTCGCGCGAATATGAACGTGGTTTGGCGCAGCTCGTCAGTGAACAACGGCTCTGTGTAGTTAATGCTGCTCAATGTGAAAGCACGCACGTGATGGAGATTTACCGCTGATTACAGAACCGGCTTTCTGACAAGATGCGCGTTAAATATCGCATGCGATTTATCGTGCAGCCCTACTTTCAAGCAAAAGATTTCCCCACACAGATTCACAACGGATTCAAACTGTTCACAAAAATTTGCTGTGATGACTGATAGAAAATGACCTGTTTGGTTTGAAAGTGACTTCTGTGTGAGCTGTGCTTCACGCATCTCTACACTATTGACAACATATACCTTTTTGTCCTGCAAAATTTCACCAAAATAAATGTAAATGACATGTTAATTTTTCATAAGTGATACTTCACACTACAGTAGTAAAATTACAATACTGTCCTAGTTTGAGTTAAACCCTCACTACATTCTAGGTAATTAAACATTGGGAAACACTATATACCATAACATGCTGAGGAAAAGTCTAAACATGGCCTTAATTGCCCATATTTCCAAGAAAGGGATGCATTGCTACCTGTGCACTTTTAACCAGTCTTATCTGTTTACCTGACAACAAAACTTGCAGCTACACTGAGAGATCACTAATCACTTTTAAGTGTTATATAAACTTTAAAAACATTCCAACTACTGCAATTCCACGAATGCGCAGGCTATACTGAGACACATGCTCATGTAAACTGTACAATAAAAGCATTGTGTTGAACCACAGGCTTTACATTGTAAACTGACAGCCGTATCACCACAGTGATCCAATGAGATTAGCAAACTGTGAAATATGAAATACCATTTCCTATTTCTTGGGCCTTGGTTTGTTACCAAAAGCAGGTCTAAATAACATTTACAATGTTCAGTCACCCGATGGGGTAGTAAATGGCCAAATAACTACATAAAATGTGACGCCATAGTCAGTTTATCACTTTTACAGTTTTCGGACGGTGGCCATAAAAAAAAATCCAATACACACAAGGGACTCCTCACATGATATCCAAGAGGACAGGTACAATAATCTCCAACAAAGACCATAATTAACAATATTTTAGGCCTATCTAATTATGTATAGTATAGGTTTACTACTTCTAGACACCATGAGATTCCTTGCTTTCAGTGGGACAAGAATTGTTGAATGTCTAGCTAATATGAACTAATTAAATCTGACAAATATTAAATTTTTATATAAAGATTATTTTATTAACTGACTAACTTATTTGGATGAAAAAATATATATATTAATTCATTTCCATCAGTTATTTACAAAATTGTTATTCCACATCCTGCCCAATTTTGTCCTCCAAACAATGTGCAATTCGAAGGCAATGAAAACAAATTGTGATTTATGTAGGCTGTGTGGAAAAAAGGGGTTAAAACGTAAACCTAATGCTTACCATTTGAAAGCAGAAGTTAAAAACTCTAAATTAAAAATGATTAATCAAGACAAACAAAAGCACAAACTAAAAGTTAGCTAACTGATACGAGGTGCAAGAAACACATTCAACATATTACATACAATACAATACTCCAATACAATACATACTGTCTGCTTCAACGCTTCCAAAGCATTGAAGCATTCAAAATCAGTCTAAGCATTCAAAACAGTCACACAAAACCCCAACAAAGGGCATTTGTATGCCTTATTAAATATGCAAGCCCAAATGTGAAGGCAATGTCAGAATTTCGACCTGTTTACAGTGAATATCACCCTCAACCCTGTGTAAATCTACAGGTGATAAGAGCCATTGATTCACACGGGGGAATTTTCCCAGCAGGCCTCAGTAACTGCTGAACAACCTCAAAAACACTAAACACAGCACAAAAATGTGTGACATTAGCTTTTTAACACAATAACTAGTATTTAGCCAACCTTACAAAAAAGTACTGTAGTGTTACCACGGTATCAGATACTACTAGTCAGTACTGTACAGGCCTAATTATCATATTCATAACATCGTATTTACATGTTACTCTTAAGTATTTAAATAACATGGTATATTACTAAGCTATATACAAGTAGCTAGTCTAAAAATACCATGGTGTTTTCTGTAAGCGAAAGAAAGCAGTAAACAGTAAACCCTGTGTGTAACGTTACATGAGAGGCCATTGCTAAGGATGGTGACAGGGAACACTTAAAATCGCTTATTTAACACCAAATTGCACGAATATTCAGTCAAAATGCAGTGGAAATTGATACCTCAATATGTTGACATGTCAACCCACTGCTTCACAACAAAATGTTAATGAGTATGAATCAACTGTCGTTTCGCTTACCTGGGTTCAGGAAGGATGATTTTCTTGCTCGCGCGGGCCGCTGGAGTCGATTTGCTCTTCTCCATCGCCATCAGGTAGCTGACATCGGCGAGAACCGCTTCGAGGTCCGCCATCTTCGAGCCCTTTGGGTCGAACCGAGCCGCTAACGGTACCAGAACCGTCCGTGAGGGGACGGTGGGCGGACTCAGCACGAAACGAGCGCGGGAGCTGTAATGATGATGGTGGTGGTGGTGGTGATGATGATGCGCGAGAGAGGCGCGAACATCTATCCCAGCCTCAGTTCTTTTTTTTATCGTTTTTTTTTTTCCCTTCAGAAGTCTCTCAGAAATCAATCATCGTGGCTGAAAATAGACGAAAAAAGCAGAAGGAAGAAGAAAAAAAAATCCAACCTGAATAGAAAATCTATAGGTTGCTTATCTATGAAACAACGTCACCCTCAGGTCCACTGGAGTTGTAGAAATGGCTTCTTGTTTCAGACAGGAGAAATATATGTGCATGGCATCACCTCCAAGCCCGGAAATTTCCAAAACAATGATAATTCTAGATGGGGATAACGATAATATCGATTAATCGAACCCCCCATCCAGCACCCACCCCCTTTGGGTGAGTTTAACGCGAACAACTCACCTGCCGGTGTAACGACCGTCAGAAAATGACATGCAAGTTAATTTAAGCCACCGTCTGTGCAGATGAATGGAAATAACGGGCTGGTTAACTACAAATACATGCAAGCTGGCCAGTCAGTGTCACAAATGGATGATGCTCTAATCAAAACGTCGATGCGATCCCGTTAAAACCAACAAGACATAGAACATGAGTCGTAAACGAGCGGACAAGACGATCTCATTAAGGTATTAAAATAAAGCAAGCCAGCTCGCTGCAAAACTGACAAATCACCAATGCATGAAAATGGACGCTGTTCAATCACATTAACCAGTTGACAGCACGCAAACAGACCACATATAATAAGGGTAATATGTATCCTCCTCTTCTTAAAAGGCGGAAAGATGGTGGAAATCAGAAGCCCAATGGTTGGAGAAACATAAATAATGGCTAGCGATGCGACACGAGCAGCTGGATTGTTTTCTGAATATCCAAAAAGCATTCAAGATCTAAACAGCATATGCATGTGTGTAAATATCCTGGTAATATCGCAAACAAATCCCCATTTTTGTGGTTCGATGGTTGAGATCTGCCTGTCACTCCTCTTGCTGATCCAAGCTGGTGGTCTTGAATTTAGAAGCCAATTAAAGGGCCAAAATTAAACTAGATGCGTTTCGATGTGGCAAGTCCATTGCCTCGTGCAGTGCAATGCAGTTTCCCTCTTAAACTGGATTTGCTTGCTCGTCAGTTTATTTATGTAATGAGAGGTGTGCTCTAAGCAAAAAACGGCTGAGATATTGCTCGACTGTAACCTACAGAAGAGAGGGGGGCGCTAGAAAAGGAAATAAGCAGATGTGAACGAAAGCAATCCGAGTTTCCTTTTCTAAAAAAAAAAAAAAAAAAAAAAGATTTATATACTTAAGATGAAACTGCAAGACAGGAATATACATAAAAACACAGCTACTGTGATTTAGTTGTGAATAAAAAAAACACAAAAATAAAGAGTTCACCCTGAAATCTCTGCGCTAGATCTTGCGGAACTTCATATGCATGGCTGTGCGTCTCAAACTCAAGCTTATACGGACGAAACTGTGAGTTTCGAGGAAGAAAAACGACGTGGCTTTTAACCCCGACACGCTTCGTTCAGGGGTTTCAAATGTACTTTCTTCCAAAAGACATCCGATTTGGATTTTTCGATGTTACTGCCGAGAGAAACCACTCTTTTCTTTCCCATCCGTGTTTGGGTCGCAGATCCAAGTCTTCATCTCTTCCGACATCGCTCAACAAAAACACTATATCCGTCCACATAAAACACTCCAGTCCGATTCCGCTCAGACCCTCCGGGAGAGACTGCTTCTTGAGGATTCCCTGCGGTTAATCCAGATGGGAATAGACGACTATTTTCTTGTTTTAGTGCTTGTGAGTGAGCTGAGCCCCACGGCGCGTCGTGAAGTGAAAGGCTTTTCTGAGAACTTCACTTCCTCCCAGCGGCCGAGTCGCTACAAAACCCGGCGCTGGAGCCGCAAAACCCGGCGATGGAGCCGCAAAACAAGGAGCTGGAGCCGCAAAACCAGGAGCTGGAGCGCTTTGACGAGGCGGAGCTGGACTCCAGTAAAGCAAAGTCTTTGAGGTGTGTAGTCTTGAATTCCTTTTGATTTTATTCAATGACACTTTTGTTCGAGTTGTTTTAGTGCCCTTTTGTTATACTTCTTTAACTGAATTGATTTAGGCAACATATGCTCTCTCTTTAAATAAAAGCGCCTGCTAAATGACTAAATGTAAATGCAAAAGCGTAAAAAACTAAGTATGTAAAAAAACTACTACGGCGAAGGCTGACTCATGCATATTAAATAGATCTTGGTGACGTTGCTTAGTAACCTTCCTGAAGCGCCCAGTCATGTTACCTCATTAATATTCATAAGTCGAACCTTCCCCATAGAAGGATTTTTCATTCGCCGTCTGAATAGCGCCCACTCACTTTTCAGCAAATCTGCTAGGCGTACTGGCGTACGTCACTGTACGTAATTAATATTCATAACCCATGGCTATATCATAGTAGCTAAGTCTAGTGGCTGCGCCATGTTATCTAAATAAAAATCGTTGTGTAAGCGCATCCCACCTCTTTATCAACAATGCATATACAAAAAAAGCATAGTGCGTTTTTTGTTTGGGTTTCTCCTTTCAGTTCCTGGTCATATGATTTAATCTGACAAACAATGATATTTAAACCCACTTCTAGGAACAAGTTAAGTCATGTTATGGACCGTTTTCGTTTATTCTCCAAAGAGAATTATGATATTTTGTTTCTCAATAAACCTGATTATTTTATATTGCATGCCTTTCCTATTCATGATCATTTGGCTTGTAGGCTTAATGCTCCCTCTGGCGGAAAACAGGCGAAAGTGCATTTTATTTCCTTGGAATAGTTCAGCCAAAAATTAAAATTCTGTCATCATTTACTCACCCTCAGGTTGTAGGAGTTTCTTTCTTCTAATTACAAAGAAATAGCAAATCACACATTGAGTTAAACTTGAAGCTTTGAAGTAGAAAAACTGAAATAGTATTTTCTTGAAGAACATCCTCGAAATAACGTTTTATTTACACCGTCGAAAAATCATCTTTTACTAAAACAACATTGTGGCATCAGTTCAAATGGAACTCATGGTGACGACCCTGGAACCTGGAAACACTCCTCGTCGTACACGATGATCTGGAAGACAGAGGTTGGGCGCCTTTAAAGATTTCAAGGGCACAATTAAAGACTTGCATGTTGGGGAAAAGGCCAAATGGACAGCAGTTACTCAACACCAGCGGATACATCTGAGGACTTATACTATTAAATTATAGCAAAAGCGTCCAGATAACAACATTCCTGGAGCACTTGCAATCATAATGCAATCTTTTCGGGCTTATGTAAGATTCCTTGGAAAACAACAGCTTGTTTTGGAGATCTTGATGAGTGGCAGCATAGTGTCAAATATGCGCTGAAAAAAATTGGCGTGTATTGGAAATTGCTTGTAAATTTCATCGCAAAGAACATAATGAATTAAACATTAAATTAGAAAAACGGAAATATCTTTTTCTTGTAAAATTTGTTTGATTTACATCTTTGAAAAATCTGACCATTTTTACTCAAAAATTGCTAGTAAACGTCACAATTACAAAGAAATGACAAGTAATAGATTGAATTAATGTGAAATTTTGGAGTATAGTATTTTCTTGTAAAATGTACTTCAATAATCATTGTTTGATTTACAACTTTGAAAAAAACTGTCAATTTTCTCTTAGAAATTGCTAGTAAATTTCACAAACAAATACAAAGAAATGGCAAGTGAAACATTGAATTAGTCATATTTAGAAGCAGAAACACTCAAAAAAAATTCTTGTAAAATGTATTTCAATCATTTTTGTTATAATTTTGTGATTTACAACTTTGAAAAATCGGGCAATTTTTACTCAAATTTCAAGTAAATTTCACAATTACAAAGAAATGGTAAGTAACACATTGAATTAAACATGAAATTTTGAAGCATTTTATTATTTTGTAAAATGCACTTATTGTAAAATAGTATTTTTTAAAATATATTTTTAAAAATGACTAAAACAAAAAAAATATAATACACTAAAAATGGTGTATATTAATTTTCACTCAGAAATTGCTAGCAAATTTCACAAACAATTACAAATAAATGACAAGTAACACACTGAATTAACTAACATTTTGGAGTAAAAAAAACTGAAATAGTCTTTTTCTTTTTCATTAACAACTTCAGAACGAATAATTTTTGACAGCATACCTTCCAATGGCCAGAGAACTTGGTGCAATGGTGAGTCATCTCGTCTGCTTGAAAACAAAGAGCAAGTGGATACAAATAGTTCAAAGTTCCAGATTAAACATAGAATTAGTCTATGAAACTTCACTAAAGATAATAGTGATGACAAATCAACACCCCATACATCTCACACACACACTAAACACCACAAGCATGGACATGCGCATCTGAATTAGACTAAATGAGACTTTACATCAGCACGGTCTGACTATGTGCTCTGTTTTTGAGTCATTCTCAAGTTATCGGACCAAACAGGAAGGCCTCTCTAAAAGAAGCCGAGGCCTGTGGTGGTGTAAACGTATGAGGGAGGTGGGGGGACAGACAACAGGCCCGTAGCGGAGAAGAACTCACCTCGCTTCGATGCCCTTGGGACGTCCTGATGTGAGAGTGAAAGCTGGGCATGTGCATGTACCCTTTTAAAGCCTCCCCTGGCAAAGGGCCCAGTAAAAGCCCCGGCTCAGCAGCGAGGGAGGGACCTACCATTGTCCAGCTGACAAAGGAGGGGTTAAATCTATACAGCTGGAGAAGTGCAAACGCCACACTATCCCTGCCTGGACGCTCGGACCTGGACACACGCGAGTCACATGCATATACGTGTCAAGGGCCGACGCGGATCTGAGACGGTGCATGTGCAGGGGGAGATGTGCTGGTCTTGGACACGTTCCATATATGACGCTCTTGTTTTGGTTCAGTGAATGCGTTGAAAATAATGATTGACAGCAGCAGGGGAGGTCTACTCTACAGTGATGCTGTGAAGATGTCATACACTTACAGTAAATAACATCATAAAAGATACTAAATGATTCAAAAGTATTAGGATTTACACAGTAATATATTTAGCTTTTGTACAATAATATACAGTTTTAAAATATCCATTGTTTGTGGCCCAGGATAATTAGGTAAATCAAACTTTTAGATAACCTTTAAATATGCTGAGGAAAATAATTGATCTTGGTCTTGGTTTTTTAATAGTTTGGAGATGTGAAAACAAAAAGTGAAAAAAGCTATTAACATGCATTAAACAAAAAAAAAAAAAAATTTTTTTAAATCAGCTTCACCTATATATTATATTGTTCAAGGTTTTTGTTTTTTTCTCAGATGAACCTCTATGACCTAAATGAATTACTTGAAGTATCACCTGTCATTTTAAATAATGTTAACCTCTCAAAATGTAATGTGAAATGTAAATGCAATATAAGTCTAATGCATTTTACAATAGCTTTGCATGTTCTCTCTGAAATTTGGGTAAGACTCATGTTTTTGAAATAAGTCTCTTATGCTCATCAAGGCTGCATATATGTGGTCAAAAAAATACAGTAAAAACCATAATATTGTAAAATAATATTACAATTTAAAATCTGTTTTCTATTTGAATATATTTGAAAATGTAATTTATTTCTGTGATGCAAAGCTGAATTTTCAGGATCATTATTCAAGTCTTCAGTGTCACATGATCCTTCAGAAATCATTCTAATATGCTGATTTGCTGCTCAAGAAACATCTATTATTATTGTAATAATATTGAAAACTACTGTGCTGCTTAATATGTTTTTGGAAACAGCATTAATTTGAAAATAGAAATCTTTTGTAAAATTATAAATGTCTTTTCTGACACTTTTGATAAATGTAATGTGTTCCTGCTAAATAAAAGCATTCATTTCTTTAAAATAAACATCTTACTGACCCCAAACCTTTGAATGGTATTACCGTATATGTTATTGCTATATTTTACATTTAAAGGCACAATATGTAATTTTTTGCCACTAGAGGGCGCGTATTCAAAACAAACAAAGAAAGGAAGGCTAGTTGATGATGCCGTGACTGAGTGTGGAATCATGGGAGTTGTGGTCTTCATCCCCACAGCCGATGCAATGAGAAATGTTAAACCACTCCAGATTATTTTTAGTCAATTAGATTAGTTTTAATCAATAAATATAGAATTCTGGCCTTCATTAACATTGCAGGAATGTAATCTAAAATGAAAAAAAAAAAGAAAAACTTTTTTGACTGTGACGAAACAACTTTAATAACAATAATAATAATAATAAGAAGAAGAAGAATACATTTAATGCATATAGCAAATTTCGAACATAAAATGCAAGCAAAAAAAGTTCACGTCAGAATATAAAAAACATTTATTATATACAATTAGATGAAAACTGTAAGGCTTCTATAAAGCTAAAGCATGTTAAGGTTTGTACACTGCTCTTTATTTATCACTGTGCTTTCAAAGGTTATTGCTAATCAGTGAGTCAGAGTAAGGAGAGGCTCTCAAAAGATACATTGCAGTTGTTACGGGGCTATTGCAGCATTCATTTGAGAAGATTGTAGCCGTATATCTCAAACCGCATGTTCAAAGAGTGCCTGTGAGACTCTGTGCAACTCCATGTGGGATCCTTCTGTTGCATAACAAGCTCATTCTGTGTCTGCTATCACACATACCAAGACACAAACACGACCTAAAAGATGCCATTGAAAACATAATATTAAGCCTAAAAATCATGAGAATCTGAATGACTGGGATCAAACCATTAATGGATGTCAGGTATGGATTTTAATATGGCCAACATTTTGTAGCAAGAATAATAATAATGAACACAATATTTTATATATATATAAAAACTTTTCTTATGGCCAATAGTAATAATAATAATAATAATAATAATAATGCATTATATGTTAAAATATAGATTCATATACAGTATAAACATCACAAGCTCTCTAGTATTAACTACTACTACTACTAATAATAATGCATTAAACCTAAAAAATATATATTATAAAAAATTATATATATATATATATTAAAAAATGTATATTTAAAATATATTAAAAATAAAAAACTATATATAAATTAATTTGATGAAGATTATAATTGCACACAAAATATATATTGTAATGCATTTGAAATCAGAGTGTATATCAGAGTGCAAACATCACAGCGTGTATTTCTTGTGAAACTCAGAGCAAAGTCAGAGAGCAAAGTAGAGTGGATTAGGATCACGTGACCCCTGACCCCTGTCCATATGTAACCTATAGCATAGAGCACCGGCTAAGAGGGAAAGTGCCATTGTCAGGGCTTTTCATTGACAGTAAAACGCTTACGGGCGCTGCGGGGAGAGCCTTCTGGGCTATGCGATGACCCTGCGGCTTTGGCACAGGCAAAGTCTGATGACGACGTGTTTCTATTGTACCCCGAGCGCCTCTGTACTCCCCTTGCCAGGGTATAAAAGTTAGAGCACTGGTCAGAGGGGGCCAGCACGAGCCAGCCAACCCAGCACAGCTGTACTCAAGCAGGTAAGAGCCCAGGTAAAACGGATACAGCAAAAGCTGAGTCCCTTCACCATCTCACAGATCTAGTAGGAAATTGCCCTGGATTCACTCGTTTTTCAGGGATTGGAACCATTTGAAATGTGAAGCCCAAACCGTACAATCCCTAACATTCAACCCCTGTCCCACAACACCAGTCCCACATGGATGTTTTGGAGTATACGCACCAGTTTCAAGCCTCATGACATTTTCCCACCCTTTACTCTTTTCTCACAGACGTTCTTGAACCCCTTCATCATGTCTCAGACCGCCAAGTCCACCACCAACCAGGGCACTGACGCCAAGGACAAGGGAGCTCCCGCCCCTGCCGCCACCAGCAAGGCTTCCAAGACCGGAGACCCCGGATTCATGGGTAACTACAAAGTAAGTATCTGGTTTTAGAGATCGGATTTTGTCAGACAGACCACTTACAGACATTGTGATTCGCATGAAACCTACACTCTTATAAGTAAAGTATCTTTAGTGGAATCTATGGTTCACAAAGAACCTTTAAAATCCATTGCAATAAAGGTTCTTTATAAAATGCTCTTTAAAGAACTGTTCTTTGAGGAACCCAAATGATTCTTCAACAAATAAAAAGAAAAAAATCGTTCTTTTTTGACTTCCATGAAGAACGCTTAACATCTATAGAACCTCCATTGCACAAAAAGTTCTTTGTAGTGGAAAAATATTCTTTAGATAGTCAAAAAATACTTCACACTAAGAAAAAAATTTATTTTAAGAGCTGTTCTGGTTCTGAAGAACTTTATTGGCTTCTATAGTTCCATGAAGAGCCTTCGACATCCATGGAAACTTTCCATTGTGCATAATAGAAAAAGTTCTTTAACGGTCTTAAGAAGGTTCTTTGGGGAACCCAAAATGATTCTTCTATGGCATCGCTGCAGAAAAATCCTTTTGGAAACTTCATTTGTAAGAGTATCCACAAAATCAGGCTTAATTGTGAAATTAAGAAAGTAAGTGGGAAACCTGGTCATGCTCTACTTCTTCGTCTCCTGCAGATCTTCCTGTTCGACCAGGAGAACTTCCAGGGCAGGATGATGGAGGTCCAGAATGAGTGCATGAACGTTTGTGAACGCGGAATGGACAGAGTCCGCAGTATCATTGTTGAGTGCGGCCCGTAAGTCACGGATATTTTCTAATGTGGATGGGGAAAACATAGAGGCTGTAATTAAATCTTTGAGATACTTTTATAGCTTATATCAGTATTTTGACTTACTTTTCTATTTTAATAAGTATTTTGTTTTGTGTTTTTGTCATTTTTTATTATTTTTTTAATATGCCTATATAGTTTTTACTCGTTTTTATTTGAGTTTTAGTTATTTTAGTACATAAAGTTAAACTAAATGAAAATTATATTTTAAAAATATTTTAAAATGTATTTTCACTTTTTCATTTTCAGTTTTCTTAACTATAACCCTGAGCTATATCTAGCTGGTACCATCCTTTTCCCTCCGTACTCATGCTGTCATCCCTCTATCCCTCTTTTTTTTTCCTCGTCCACTGTTTGGTACACATCTGTCCCTGCTGTCCATGTCTTCAGCTTTGTTGCCTTCGAGCAGACTAACTTCCGTGGCGAGATGTTCATCCTGGAGAAGGGCGAGTATCCTCGCTGGGACACCTGGTCAAACAGCTACCGCAGTGATTGTCTCATGTCCCTCAGACCCATCCGCATGGTAGGACACTTGGGAGAGCATCGCAACTTCTCCTTATTGTATTCAAATGCATGTTGCTAATTGGTCCAAATGCCTACAGGACCCCATGGAGCACAAGATCTGCCTGTACGAGCTGTGTGACTTCCAGGGCAACAAGATGGAGATCCAGGAGGATGACGTGCCAACCCTGTGGGCGCATGGCTTCTGCGACAGAGTGGGCAGCGTGAGGGTTCCCGGTGGAGCGTGAGTACCAAATCAAAACTCAATTAACGGCTAAGAGCAATACTATCCCATGTTTTACACACTCTGTTCCTCTTTTGGAAGTTGGGTGGGATACCAGTACCCCGGCTACAGAGGCTACCAGTATCTGTTTGAGTGCGGCGACTACAGACACTACAACGAGTTTTGCGCCTTCCAGCCTCAGATTCAGTCCATGCGCCGTGTGAGGGACATGCAGTTCCACCAGCGCGGCTTCTTCAATCTGACCACCGCTAAACAGTGAACTCACCCCGCTGCGGTCCTGTAGCATAGCGACTAGCCTTCTCATGGTGCTTTTTATCCCCGTACCGCCCCCTTTTCTCTGACTCCTCCCCCCAGAATAGATTCATTTAAATTGTCCCGGACATCTAACTGACTTTTTATGATGCCAATAATAAACATGTTTTGGAAAAACAAAAAAGCTGACTTCTCTTGTTATCCTTTTCTAACATTTAAATACACAAATTCCCCCACAAAAAAAAAAAAATGTCCAGGGAAAATTTAAATATTCAAAATATCTTAATTTTGCTAATAGAGCTATTTGGTTTTAATATAATTCTCATGGGATTTATATTCCATAATTTGAACATAATGTGTATTGTGTTACTGATTATTACTGTATCCGTACAGCAGTGTCACTCGCAGCTCACGAGCGACTCTGTGTGCATGTAATATGCCGCTGGATGCATTTGCAGCTAGTTTATTTAAGCGACCAATGCAGAGTGATTCACAAACATTTGTACGACTGTCTAAATTTTTGGTAACGTTAATTGAGTAAATATTAACGTAAAACATAATAATTTCCGTTATATGACCCTGTTTCGGTTAGGTCTAAAGTTAAGACCATTAATAAAATAGTCAATAAATAGAATAAGAATAATCACGTGCTTACCTTATTAAAATTCACTTCATGATTCTCCATGATTAGGCACGAACACGTATGAAATCTGAAATGTTAGTTTCCTATGTTCGTGTTGTTGTGGATGGTTTATTGTCATATGTGGGGTTGACCTTTACCCTGACATCTGACTGTTTCATTCAAAACAAATGTCACTCAGAGTAAACAAACAGTCAAACTCCTGCTAGTTTCTTGAAGAAATGCACGCGTTATGCATTCAGAGTTGGTTTATCTAACTGATTATACATATACAGAAGCACACTTCTACAATTTGAATGCGTTTTTTCTCATTACAGCTATTTTGGATAGTGTGAAAGTGCACAATGACCTTTTACCTACTTTTACTCTGCAGGTTCTGCGCATGCGCATAAACTCGTATTTCACTACCCTAACATATAAATGCTACTAGTGAAATACGAGTATATATATATAAACTAACATATATAGTTTTTTTGTACATTAGCCATGGAAGTTTCATGATTTTCTTTGTAATTTTACTATGTAAAATACTGTAATATTCAAATATTTTCTACTGATTAGATTATGATTTAGTGTTGCAATTTATGCATATTTTATTTCCATTAGGGCTGCACAATTAATTCTAATCGCAATTACAATTATGGATGCCACAATTATGTAATCGTTCAAAGCGGCAATTAATCGTTCAAAGTCCACTTATGTTATTCTGCACGCTTAAGATATGTTTTTTTTCTTTCTACATGTTATCTTAAGGGTTTTTCCATTGTTTTAGTTTTAGTATAACATTATAATACCATTCATATTTTTACTTTTTTTATAATTTAAAGAAGAAACCAATCCGATGTATATTTGACATTTGAGGCTTAATACTATAGAAAAGCACTAAAGGTTTTTCAGTTAGTGTTTTCAGCTTGTTTATTTTCATATAAAAATACAGCATGCAGTTGCATCAAAAAATGGCATAAACATCATTCAGTGTAAATTGTGATAATCGTAATTAATAATCGCAATTACAATTTCAAGGGAATAATCGACAATTATGATTTTTGTCATAATCGTGCAGCCCTAATTGCCATGTATCTATGATTTCACTGCTTTATCATTAACTTATTTCTGCGGAATCATATTTATGTTGCCGTTTCATTTGATCATTATTCATTTAGTAAATATATACAGTATACATGTTACTATAATCTTCTTTTCTGTATTTATCAGCTCTGGGCATGGCGGTAGGGCATGGCGTTCGCTGTTTGAGCCAGCTTGCGGAGCTGCCAGAGTTGCACCAGATGATGAGGCAGACATGTAGGGATTACGCTCAAAAAGAACTTGCGCCAATCGCTGCTCAACTGGACAAAGATCACAAGTTCCCAGCCAAGCAGGTAAAAGGAGCTTGAGCCATGGAGCTCCACAGTATTCACTGTCTTTCGATTAGAGCACATGAGGATGATTGTGGTTGATTTTTGGATGGTGTAGGTAAAAGAACTGGGAGCGATGGGTGTCATGGCTGTAGAGGTACCAGAGAGTCTGGGTGGAGCTGGGATGGATTATCTGGCGTACTGTCTGGCCGTGGAAGAGCTCAGCAGAGGATGTGCATCGACCGGAGTCATCGTCAGTGTGAATAATGTGAGTCGTCTTTTATTCTGTGAGTCAATTAATTCTTCTAAATCTGTTTAAGTGCACATTTAAAACTTCAATCTGTATTTGAATATATATGGTTAAACAATGAATTTATGCAGTGCCTAAAGAACTCATGCAATTAATAGCAAAAAATATTTTTAATATTTAATATTTTTAGATATATTTTAAAATATTTAAAAAATGTCCAAACATATTTTGCTAAATATACAATTCCAATCTTCCAATCCTACACCATGTTTTTGATCAATTCAAATTATATTTTGAAAAATATAGTTGAGACATAATTTTATATATATATATATATATATACACACACACATACATATATGTATAATTATTATATTGATACTTATTTTTTTCTCATACTGTGTATATATATATATATATATATATATATATACAGGTGCATCTCAATAAATTAGAATGTCGTGGAAAAGTTCATTTATTTCAGTAATTCAACTCAAATTGTGAAACTCGTGTATTAAATAAATTCAATGCACACAGACTGAAGTAGTTTAAGTTCCAGCACAGGAGGTGGCGGTATGCACCTTAAAAGCTGGGATGCGACCCGCCAATAAATCCACAGAAGAAGAAGAAGAAGTAGATACATCAGAGCCAAGATGGCGGCGCTTTTCAAAGCACGGAGAGGTCAGTAGTGTTACTGATTATTACTGTATCCTTACCGCAGTGTCACTCGCAGCTCATGAGCGACTCTGTGTGCATGTAATATGCCGCTGGATGCATTTGCAGCTAGTTTATTTAAGCGACCAATGCAGAGTGATTCACAAACATTTGTACGACTGTCTAAATTTTTGGTAACGTTAATTGAGTAAATATTAACGTAAAACATAATAATTTCCGTTATATGACTATATTATATAGAATCACTATTGCTCATACTTTACAGGTTACTAAACTGAATCTCTAAGTATCAAACCTGTCCTTTTCATTATCATTTAGCTGAGATTTAACGCATGCGATCGAATTGCTGTGTTTTAGTCGCTGTACCTGGGTCCAATTCTGAAGTTTGGCACAGAAGAACAGAAAAAGCAGTGGATTACTCCCTTCACCACGGGGGAAAGAGTTGGCTGTTTTGCTCTGAGCGAGCCAGGTAAACACAGCTGCAGTTCCATGAGATCTGTCTGCTTTCTAAACACAGGTGCACTCATACTCCTTCACACAACCACCAGATGTGGATTATTGAGATGATTTCATTTATGCTCTACATCTACAGATCCATAGAGTTGCCATTTTTATGCTAACATCAGTGAGAGCTTGTTTTCATCTAAGTGTGGTATGAAATGTTGTGCTGAAGATATGTTTTTCGCTATAAAGGAAACGGCAGCGATGCAGGTGCGGCGTCAACACTGGCACAGCAGGAGGGAGACGAGTGGGTTCTGAGCGGAACCAAAGCCTGGATAACCAACTGCTGGGATGCTTCCGCCACCGTCGTTTTCGCCACAACAGACAAGAGCTTAAAACACAAGGTTCGTGTGCGACGAATGAACTGATTTGAAAACGACTGATTATACAGTGTAATTTAAGTTCATAAAAATGTAAAGAGCTGAAATTGTTTTGATTTTATGTATTCATAGGGTGAATTGGGAATTTTCAAATGAAAAAAGACATTATTTATTTACTTGTATAATTATTTATACAATTTTATTTTACTTAAAAATCAGGGAATTAGTGCCTTCCTAGTGCCGATGCCTCATCCGGGGTTGTCTTTAGGGAAGAAAGAAGACAAACTGGGAATTCGAGCTTCATCGACTGCCAATATCATTCTGGAAGACTGCCACATCCCACTCGGCAACATGCTGGGAGAGCGCGGAATGGGCTTTAAGATTGCAATGGTATGCTTTTAAAGGTGCTGTATGTCATTTTTTGACTGTACTAAAGCATAAAAATAGCACAATATGTTTGCAGATATTTAGGAGAAACATATTTTGTTTCACCTGAAAAACAATGCTTCAGCCAGTTATTCTACTTTGAAATGTGCGTTCCGTGTTGGAATCGCTGTTTTTGTTTTGGTCTGTGTAATTCCACCTACTGACAGTTTTACCCAATAGTATTTCGGCACCCCGGGTTGCCAGTTGGTGGAAAACACAGCGTATGGCAACCATGGAAGCCAACAAATAAACTGCGTCAGACATTGCAAATTCTACCTGACCTAAAAAGCCATCCATCTAAAAACCTCTATGTCCAGAAGCATATTAAAATGCAGATAAATCAGCTCATCAGCGTACAGTGTCAATTGCGCATGTTCCTGTTGCGTGTCCTCAATCTGGCAACCTGTGTGATTGCTGAGTCTAAGGAGAATGGGCTGGGAGAAACAACTCTCTTTAATATTTTGAATTTGGAATGCAGTACCATTTCAACCTTTGTCGGTTACTGTAAATAAAACCATTTCATTTTAGTCAAGTTATAAAACTAAAGCTCTTTCACATTTGCTTTGTTTACATGGGATCTAATGCAGCTGTTTTCCATCCCACAGCAAACTCTGGACAGCGGGCGGCTTGGTATCGCAGCACAGGCTCTTGGTATCGCTCAGGCAGCGCTGGACTGTGCGGCTGATTACGCTCATAAAAGAACAGCTTTCGGCGCTCCGATTGGGAAACTGCAGGCGATACAGGTGATATACTGACTGTAACTCACCACAAACACTCCCTGTGTGACATTCAGAGGGAAAGTGGAAAGCTTTAGTGTTTTCATCTTTCATCTGGGATGATTCAGCTGCTGACGTTTCTCTATAAATGTCTCTTTCAGTTTAAACTGGCAGACATGGCCTTGGCCATAGAGAGCGCTCGACTGCTCACCTGGAGAGCTGCAATGCTGAGGGACGCAAAGAAACCTTTCACTAAGGTTAGTCTGTTTCCTCATAACTAACTATTGTGAAGTTTATGGTAAATGTGCTAATGGTTTATTTAAACTTGGGGTTAGTGGTGCAATGAATATCATGAAAAATGTGTGTTTTTTTGTACTGCAGGAAGCTGCTATGGCTAAACTGGCTGCATCTGAGGCTGCTACGTTTGTCTCCCACCAGGTAATCATCAAATAGATATTTTATTTCTAAACCCATCATACTGTAAATGCACTAACATGAGTATTTTGCTGAAATGTGAAGGCCATCCAGGTGCTGGGCGGGATGGGTTACGTCACAGACATGCCTGCTGAGAGACACTACCGTGACGCCCGCATCACAGAGATCTACGAAGGCACCAGCGAGATCCAGAGATTAGTCATCGCTAACAACATTCTCAAAGAATATCAGCAGTAGGAGAGCTGATGTTCACGTTGACTCGCTCTGTTACGACACTGTGCCTGGATTGGCTGATCTGGTCAGTCACAGATCTCAGGACTGTGTTACTGTGACTGGCCACTGAAGATGTATTAATGTTGCTCTATCACAGATAGAGTGACTCAAGACTGTTTGAAGTGCATTTTCTCATTTGTGCCACAAGAATGTAGTAGAGAGTCTGGATCGTTTGCCTTTGTATCAGACCGTAAGGACTAATCTTCACTGGGAATTTAAATGCATATCTGATTGTACATAATGAATTGTGTGTATTTGTTATGCATTTTAAAATAAATAATTATATCAAATTTTAATACTATGATTTGTTTAAAGTTGGTTTATTGTAACACACCTTATTGTAATTCTAAGATTCCTCTGATGATAGAATTTGGTTTGAATTATGGCTAAAGGGAAATTGTTTATGGGACAAAGTTTGAGGGTTTTAAAACGGCTAGCTTGGACTGGTACATGTTGCAGTTGTTTCTTTGGCCAACTTGAATAATACAATGCTGAAATCATGAACAATTTTCAGTGGGCTCCAAAAGTCTTGCGATCACTAGTGAAAAATCTTCTGTTTTGTCTAATTTATTAATAAAAAATGCATTAACAAAAGACAAATTTGTGTGAAAATTGAACTGAAAACATTTTTCATTAATGTCTTTGATTAGTTTGATTAGTGACCTACAAAAGTTCAGAATATGAAATATTTTGTATTTATTTGACATACTTTCTGTTTTTATGTTTTCAGTATCATAAAATGGTTTGTTTAGGTGAAAACATTTTTGCATATTTAAAAAATATTTCATATTTGCATATGTCTTTTCAACAGAATCCTATTAAAGAACCCTGTTTATTTAACACGTATGCATTTGTTAGTGCGTGTGCTGTTTGTTAGCTTATGAGGAAATGAGCACTTGACCAGATTTGGCTTCAGTCCCACGTGCTGCGGGTCTCTAATCTATCGGCCACATCGGGGGGAAGAGGCGCCATCATTTCCTGTGTGCCGTTTCTGTCATTTCAGAGCGTGTGGGCTTTTCCCACAGGACTCAGAACTGGGTCAAAGTTCCAGAATTCCTGAGACCTGAAATGATGCTGATGATTTTTTATAAGGATAAAGGTCACGGCTCTGACTTTTGTTGTCCTTGCTTTAACAATGCCTAAGATCATACGCAAAAAAAAAAAAAATGTAACCAGTGCAGGTTAAAGGAATGGTTCCCCCCAAAACATGCAGATTTTCACAACACAAGATGTAATTTCTGGACTAGAGTGGTGTATATTACTTGTGGATTATTGTGATGTTTTAATCAGCTGTTTGGACTCTCATTCTGACGGCACCCATTCACTGCAGAGGATCCATTGGTGAGCAAGTGATGTAATGCTAATTTATCCAAATCTGTTCTGGTGAAAGACCAAATGCATCTACATCTTGGATGGCCTGAGGATGAGTAAATGTTCAGAAATGTTTTTATTTTTAGGTGAAATATTCCTTTAACCTCTACTGGTTATAGTGGCCAACCAAAATTATATAAACACATTCATATGTATGAATGTCATAGCATTAGATTATTTTGAAAAAGATGGCAAAGGCACACTTTTCGAAGCTTTTGTTTGTTTTAAGTATATTGTCAAATGTGTTAGTAATTTAGGGAGCCATTTAGTATATTTATTCATTTTAACTGTATAAAAACAAGCTGGAAACGTTGGTTTATTTTCGAAAGATATCAGAAATCTAAAACAATATCACATAGCTTTTTCTACAATTCTTGTGTACACTTCAGACATTTCATGCATATGAAACATGCCTCATTTATGTACCATCAAAATTATGCAACTGGACACATTATTACCAAAAAACCTTTTATTTATTACTTTGAATATGCACAAATGTACTGAAAAATGGTTTCATACAACTATGTACAATCAGGAGGTTTAGATGATCAAAACAGTCTCATGTAAAGCTGCAGCCTGGAGTCTATAGGCAGAACAATAGGCATTATTCAGTGTCTTATTGAAGCACAGACCGTGTCTAATTAGTGCACTCTCATAAAGCGGAACAAAAACAAGAAATATAGACCCTCCCTTCACCCACCTTACGCCACAGTGATTAAAATCAAATGCAAACAAGTGGGCCGCTGACCCTAATATCACTAACTAAGACAAAAAATACCTGTGTACATCTAATTCATTATTACTAGGACAAACTGTTAAAGGAGCTAAAGACAGAAAAATATAATCAAACATAGTTTATACATACACAGTCAAAGTTTATACATTGTCAATTGATTATCTGAATGTTTGCTAAGTTTGGTACAAGACCTGTTGCATGTAACTGGGAAGTTGACTTACATTATTTCATGTAAAACTATTTTAAACATTTTTTAACATGCAGTTTTAATGGATATGCAAACTTTAAAAAATTATTTCTCACACTCATTTATAAGAAACAGAGCACCTAAAAATACATTTTCATATATATTTGAACCTTAAATCTAGTTTTTGAATTAAAAATACAATTATTGATGAACTACCCAGATATTAAAGTTTACAGCCTTGAAAGTCCATATGCGCAGAGCCACTAGTCCATGGTTGAACGTTGAGGTTCACACATAGTTTCGTTTATCATAGTCCCCATTGATTGATGTGCTTTTTGTAGGTGGAGGTACATATTTTAGAGGATACGAGGATTTCTCATCATGTGGACGAGAGAAACACAGGATCACTCCTCCGACCAGAAGCATGGCAGATGCTGCCCATCCGATGTAGAGCGCAGCTCCAATTTCTCTCTTCTTTGCATAAGGGACTTGAGGGTCGTAGAAGTCCGAGATGATGTTATTGGCCATCCAGCACAGAGGCACCAGCACAAACAAGCCTGAGATGATGTATATCACCCCTCCGACGTTGACTACTTTGGCTTTGATGGACTCTTTACTGATGCAGTTGGTGCACTGAGCACCGGCGATGGTTATCATCAGAGCCTGGACACCCAAAACCGCTGAGATGACCGTCAGAGCCCGAGCGGTCTGGAGGTCAGTGTTCAGCGCCAGGACGGAGTCGTGCATTTTACACTGCATCTGACCCGTGCTCTGGACCACGCAGGACATCCACAGCCCGTCCCAGATGTTTTGCGCCACCACGATGTTGCCCTCGATGAAGGCAGACACTTTCCACATGGGCAGCCCACAAGCCACCATCACCAAAAGGGTCCCGGTGACGCTCAAGCCAAGTCCAATAATCTCCAGACATGCAGAAATCATCTTTGCAAAGTTTTTTTTTGATGCAGTTTAGAAAGTCTAGAAAAAGTATTTTTGTTCAAAGCAGGTGTTCAGAGCAGAAGTATCTCTACATCGCTTGGCAGTGTTGCAGGATGAGATGCGGCGGGAGTTTTCTGCTCTTGTGTGCAGGGAGGATGCTGTTATAAGAGCACTCATAACAAAGAGGAGCGGCTCCAGCCAATCAGAGCGCAGCGCGTCTCCCGACAGCCAATCAGAAGTGAGAGCCGCTGGACAAAACGGGATAAGACTAAACTGTCTGCATCATTCAGTCGGAGTTTTTAAAAGTGACGGTAGCAGCAATATACTGGAAGTGGGACTTCCTTGTCTTCCTGGTATTCTTTAAGAAGAAAAGCCCACTTTACACAAGGGGGGCAGGTGTCAAAACAAGCACACAAATGTAGAAGATAAGAGGTAATTTCTTTATGTTGAAAAGGCACGTCAGACGGAGCGCTGCAAATGAAACCGCGCCTCAGGTGAAACGACCACGCGAATTAATTATTTTGGTTAAAAAGAGCACATAACACCGATACTAGCGCGAAAGGCTTTCCATTTTTTCATATTTAGCAAATGTGTGTGTGTGTGTCTGTGTGTGTGTGTGTGTGGAAGAGAGCAAGCGCTTACCTGCGTATTTCCCGGTCTCTCTCTCTCTCTCTCTCTCTCTCCCAATCGCTATTTTGTCTTATTACAGTTATTTTAAATACAATTATTTTTACAGTTATTACTTTTAAAGCGAACGTTTATCCGAGTTAACAAACCTTTTTTGTGTTCATTTAGCTGTTGTTTATTGAAGTTCTGTTGCCACTCAGTGGACGTTTGGCGAAGTGATGTAATGCGCTACACAAACTTGGAATTACTTCATAGATGTCTTTAGCTAGCAATCAGACAGAACTGCCTAGGCCTAGTAACCAGCCAGAAGCAACCAACTAGACCATTTTAGGAACCATTTAGTTATGTACCTTTTTCCTGTCTAGCTGTGTGTCTTTCTTGCTCATTTCAAAGACACTTTAAAAATCATTTAAAACAAAGTTAGGCTTTGTTAGATAATTTAGGTAATTTGTTTGGTAATTTAATCTGGCACCCTGCAGCACTGAATAAAGTTAAAAAAAAAGTAATTGCAACTATCTCAGATTTCTGACTTTTTCCTCACTAGTGACTTTTTTCTTAGAAGTCTGAGTTTGTAGGCTTCTAGTAGGCAATCGTTTCTTTACTTTATGCTATATTATTAATCTGAATAAAATTTTTTAAAATTGTGCATAAAAACTCTCCTTTAATGTCTTCAACTTGCGTGATTCGGGTTCATCTACGTGCAGTCCAGTGTGTCATGTGTACAGTCATAACGTATGCTTAGATTTGTTACTTCCTCTCCTAAAGTATGAAGAGGAGTGGCGCAGGAAAAACAGGAAGAGGGGTGAACTGTCTCGTATTTGTGATTGTGAACATGCAGCTGCAGAGAAAATGATGGAAGACAGCCACGGTACCACCTTAGATACCGAAGACTCAAGAGCCAAACAGTTAGCTTTGTTCTTGTCTTATAAAACCAATGACTTCAGTGCCTGAAGAATTTTTTTTTATTTAGTATAACTTATTAGGCTACAGTTAAATTGACAGTGCTTTCTCACACAAAGCTGATTTCCCAGAAGTGACCATTTCCTATGTCCATAAGGTGCAATTGTCCATTTACTGGAGTGGACGCCCCTCATAGAGGCTTATGTAAAGCTATTAAAGGCAGGGTATGTGATTTTTCAAAAACACTTTAGAAAACTGATTCGGGCCGAATAGCAAAACAAACTTGTAGCCAATCAGCAATAAGGGGCATGTCTACTCGTGATGTGGAGGAGAGAGCTTTCAGTGCATGGGACGGACATTAGCCGAGCCGAGCGACAGAAAGATAGAGATGGCGGATAAAAAAACAAGAGGAAAACGTCTGCGGAACGATAAGGCAAGAAGTAGGACCCGTGTAATTATCGGATCAGCTTTCCAGTGCTGGAGAGAACTCAAGGAGCGGAGGCCTGCGATCGGACGCCGAGGTTGCTTTGTTTCTTCTCAATAGGTGAGTAACACCGTGTCTACAACAGCTAAAGTCTGCCTACACTGGACGCGATCAAACGACCGTTGAAAACCATTTGAAATTTGTGTCAGCACGTCATAAATAGAACCCGGCAGCAGTTTTCTGTCGGGGATTTGTTGCGCCGCGCCGCTCACGTCCGTAGACACTGTGTAACATTGGTTTTGCTTTGTTTCACAGAACTAATCGTTGCCTGGGTTGCGTACGTATATGTGGGGCGGAGCTATCAAAATAGGGGCAAGACCCTTTTGGGGTAGGGGCGTGTTTGTTTTGGTGATTTCAAATATCAACATTGGCTACCAGAAATCGCTTACTCTGCCTTTAATGACATTTACTGTAACCAGGTTTCTGTTGGTATTAAAAGCTCTCTGATTCTCAAAAAAACAAAACAAAAGTGTGCTATCAGTAAGTCAGCCACTTTCCCAAAGTGTTGTAAAAATGCTGAGCAACACATTCAGTGGCACCTTGACAGAAGCACTAATCATGAGTCAGACCGAAGCAGGAAAATCTCTGTTGATTCAGGCTGTTGTTCGTCAGGAGGGTCTGGGTAAAAACTTTGCAGCATGTACCAGCCTCCACATCATGTCTGGAGTGACATGTTTGTATTTGTGTTGCTGGAGATGCATGTCTGTCTCACACAATGTCACTCATTTACATCTCAGAGCTTGTTTTTAGTGGAACAATATAGACCACAATATTGCCAAAAATGGACAACTAAAGATGTTAAACTCTTAAAAATAAAGGTTCTTTATTGGCATTGATGGTTCCACGAAGAACCTTATAGTGGAAAAAGGTTCTTTAGATTTTTAAAAAAATGTTCTTCAAAATATGAAATTATGTTTATGGGAGGAGAGTATTAGAATGAATCACGCAACACGATTTACTAACGTCTGTGCTCATCAAATTACTGGTATTTGTGCCATTATTTAACACCCAAAAAAGCATGTCTTAAAGCATAGTGGAAAAAGGTTCTTTAGATTTTAAAAAAAAATGTTCTTCAAAATATGAAATTATGTTTATGGGAGGAGAGTATTAGAATGAATCACGCAACACGATTTACTAACGTCTGTGCTCATCAAATTACTGGTATTTGTGCCATTATTTAACACCCAAAAAAGCATGTCTTAAAGCAGGCGGTAATTTGCGTTGCTCTTGGTAGATTGCGCTGGTCATTATGGAAATGATCTGGCTGCTTCCGTGTTCTTTAATGTGCACATTGTTAGTAAATCATCTGTAGAATTTCCCCCTCCCATCAGCCCTTTTATGGAATTACACTCTAATGCTAATTTGCCCTGCATAGTAAATCTAACAATACAATCTAACTAAATCTAATTTACTAAATGTAACTAACAAACTTTGAATGTTAGTTCGATAAATCCTTGTTTAAAAATTTGAAGAAAGTTTGAAGGTTTAAAGGCAAAGATTGATGCATAAATGGATGGATTGATGGATAGATAGCCAGCTATAGAAAACTGTATCTAATCATATTTAACAAATTAACTTTTGAACATCAGGTTTAAAGAAATCTTCATATCCCAAAATGCATTATTCATTCGTGTTGTAATTTTTGCAAAAATTTTTTTCCGTTGTTTATTTTTTCCAATTCAAATTCCAATTCAACTTTCTGTGGGGTGTGGCCAAATATATTAAAATTCACACCTCAGAATTGAAAGGGAGCCATTTCTTCAATTTTGAATTTTGCACAAGTCTGTTAGCAACCACCCAGAACAACTTGGCATTGTAGTATCTAGTTTTGAACGTGCAAATGCCACATTTGATTTATTTTTAAATGTAAAAATCTAGTTGATCTGAAAAAAGGACCGTACGTGTATGTGAACATTTAATCAGAACACACATTAAAACAGGGTCAGCTAATAACCAGCGTAATTTCCTGAGAACAATCAGCCCCTCATCCGCGTGGAAGTATAATTAGAAAGAACACAAACAAAGCATTAATCAAAGGCTGACCTCATATCATGTTCATAGCCATGGACGTCCCGCAGCATTCCATTGAGGCGATATGTTTTATCACTTTTAGCATGAATCTTGTGGATTGTCTAGACAGACACCTACACCAGAAGTGCACAAAAACCGCTGATGTGCATGTTTTCTGCAGATGTTTCCTCTAGTCTCAGTGGTGTGCAGAAGCCACGCCAGGTGTCTGGAATTATACACACGTATCTAATGGGCCTCATCAGTAACATCAGTCAGGACGTGAGCACAGATTCAAAGCATCAAGACCTCCTTCTTTGGCAGCGGTCACAGCAGCTCAATCTCGGGCTGTGGATGATGAACAGTGAGACTGAGGTGAGCCACATGGAGTCCTGTGGGCCGGGGACGGATGGAGTTGTATAGTGCGGAAATCCTGTCCTGTCTTATGGTTTCCCCTTAAGACTATTGTTCTAGCATGATTGCGAATCCAACTATGCAATCAACCATTAGTTTTCATATTATTAATCTTTCGCAAGCTTTCTAAACTGTCTAAATTGACCTTCTTCAAAAATGCTCATGATTGCTTGCAATTCCTATTGCTTATGCTTAGTTAGCTTAGTTACTATTTATTGTGTAAGACCTTAAACAGGCAAAAAACATGGATTTACATTGAAAAGGGACTCAAAATATCACACAGCATTTGGGACTGACAAACTGATTTTCAACATGTTCTATTCATATAAGACCATTTCTGCCATGTAAGAAAAAAATGCTTTGGTAAATCAAAATTATGATGTAAAAAGTTGAAATTATGACATACTAAGTCGAAATGAACACAAAAAGTCATAATTATCAAATAAAATGAAGAAATGAGATAAAAAGTCAAAATTATGACTTTTATGATTCTGCTTCTGTGTGGGTGAATCTATTGAATTTTTGTACTAGAATATTAACCAAATTGTATTATCGTTTATGAGTAAATGGTTAAGCATTGAGCTTGGGGAATGCAGGCTGGTGCTTCAAGGCGATTTACGCTAGTGGGAGTTTTGTTTATATTCACAATTGCTCATAGTATGCCAAACTTTAAGAGTCACTGACATCCACCCACCCTTCAT